GGACGTCGTGTTAATCTTTCAGAGTTTTGACCTCCATTGCACCAACAACACACCCCTCAGCCATCAGGACAGGCAGCAAGCAGCTCTTCCCCTCAGCCACCCTTTCCTAGATTAGCCCCCCGATGCCCTCGGCCCAGCTTTTTAATTGCTTGTTGGATTGAATATTCCCAGTTTCACCTTCCCTTCGTCTAGCGTACAGATATTGCTTCTCATTACAATGTCCTGGATGAGCACTGTGCTACATCCATAACGGCATGTTCATACTGCGACTAAAACGAGCCTGAACACCATCACCGTGGTGCAGTAACGCTCGTGGAGTCAGTAGATAGCTGCAAAAGCTCTCCGTTCTTCTTGGGTGTGTGGAAGTTGTAAGGGTTTAATTTACATCTGTTTAATGAGCCATAAGACATGAGATTCCATAGTAAATATGAAATCAATCTTATGGATCTTTGGGTACTTTTAACCAGAAGATTGGAACTTTTTATTGCAGGGATTATGTAGCACTTCGTATTAACTGAGAGACAAGAGAAGAGAGAGTCACCTTTAAAACGTTTAAGAAGATTTATTTCTAAACAATTTTAAACAAGACTAACTCTAAACTCTGAGTGATGAATGGATCTGGTGTGAATGAGACGTGAGATGAATGGTGTATGTGTGAGTGATGTCATCAGAACTCTCGTATCCGGAGAAGCAAGTCTGAATGATGTTGTGATGTTTTGCTCTTAAGCTATGATCGGAGTTTCATAAACACATGAGACGCCATGTTGTCGCTCCACACAAACCCTTCAGGATGAGACCTCCGTACAGATCCAGAATGCCAGGTCCTCGGACCCCCCTTTCGGTACCGGAGCTGATGAAACGGCGTCAGCAGTACGACAGACTAGTCTTTGGATTGTCTCCAGGTAAAAAGCGACAGTTGGTTGACAGAGTCAGATGGACCCGGAGGGTCAGTGAGTTCAGCTTTTATTCTGAAAGGAACCGTTGCTTGGTTGGTAAAGTGCAACAGATTTTATCCAGCTTGTTGGTTCTTTGCTTAAAAAGGAAGTCCGGGTGGCCGGTCCGATACTTCTCTTAGCATGCGGTGAATGATGGCGTGGGACCGGTTTTATTAATCTGGATGTTTTGATTTCTGGTCGAATCAAAGTTGGCAGATTTATAAACATCACAGAGACTATGCCACACTTCAGAAAGGAAGGTTCTGATTGGATGAGTAAAAGCAATGTGTCATGTGTTTACATTACATGTCGTCAGGGTGTCTAGTGCAGCTAGAGTAAAGTCATATTACTCATTAAAACTTACTAATCATAACATTGTCATTTCACAGATTGGTCAACATTATCTTATTGACTAACACTTTGTTTGATTAGCTTTATTAAAAATAGAAAGAGTTTGTCTTCATTCTTCTCTTGGGCTGGAAAGGAAGCAGTTTAGAAGCAGATGCCTGACCTTGAACAATATCTCATGCAGACGAGTTCCTGCTGAGGAGAGGCGGGAAGGACTTTTAGGTGGATTACGAAGTCCTGCAGGAGGAAACGGCGTGTTACCTGAACCAATAAAACTGACTAAAACTGAAATAACAGGCTTCTGCATATTAAAATATACTCGTATAAATATACGGTCCTCACTGTAAAAAAGACTGAAAACAAGAATTATTCCTCTAATTTCGCCCTGTTGAAGATTTTTAATGACTTTGACGGCAAATAGGAATACTCCTTTTAGTTTTCTTTCTCTAACTGGGAGCAGATGTCCAGCACCAAGGGCCGAGGCAACATAATAATCATAAAAGTAGTGACAATAAAAAAGAGCTGTACTGACATCTAGACAACCCCCATAAAATGTGCTATTAGAACAAATTACAGGTGGAGTAGCTTTCCAAATCCATTACTGCTGGATGGCATTTATTTATTAGTCTTGGATTTCTTGCATGGGAAGGAAAAAGAAACTATACTCCACCGTGGCGTTTAGTCAGTATTCTCAGCTGTTTAACAAGTGGCCCTGCTTTAGAAACAGATGTGCTGCTGCAGGAGTGCTCGATTTATCCTGCTAATGCTGCGTCTGGACATGAGGCATACATTATCGTGGGGTGAAGCCCGTGCGGTGTCCAGAGCCTGAACGGATTAGCGTAATGTGCGTTTCGGTGATAGATATCCATCTATGTTGCTCTTTATCTTAATGTACAGGCCTGAGGTCAGAATAGCAGCAGGGTGTACGTGCTGCTGCACTCCACCAGATATCATCTGCAACTTGCTCTTTTAAACTCTTCTGTTGTTTCATGGGCTCTTTAGGTTATTGGGGTGTGCGTTACACCACATTATGAATTAGGTGGTAAAGAACATGAGAATGTTGATCTGTTTTACTGTGTGTCTGGATGTGGTAACGGTTATTCAGACTGGTTTAGATGGCATTAGACATCCCGGTGCAACCTTTAAGTTAAAACCAGGACAAGTGAGCTTCTCCGTAGGGGCTAGGATCCGTGTTTTACTTGTTAGTAGGGTTGAAAGTTAAAATACCATTAGCTCACACACTGGTGTGTGACATTTGTTTTGACCCATCCCTTGGGGGAGCGGTGAGCTGAAGACACAGCCACTTGCTGTGGTTTGGTGGTTTAGCCCCCCCATTCCAACCCCTTAATGCTGAGTGTCGAGCAGGGAGGCGCTGGGTCCCATTTTTTAGTATGCCCGACTGTGGATTTGACACCAGAATGTTCTTTTGGAAATACGATTGATCACTTTAACACTTAACATCTGCAAAGGTAACAGTTTAACATGCAGGCTGAACATGAGAATAGTCTCCTACTAAACCTATCTCCTGCAGTAGCTTCTGATAGAGAACAGACGATGAAACTGAAGGATTAGAAAATCCTGACAGATCTGCGTCACACTGTCACTAACATTCATGCACTCACCCATCTGGACTCACGACGTGGAAGGCTGTTGTTGGTTTAGCGTCCAGGAAACAGCAGAAAACATCTCAGCTAGTAGAAGCTAACTGTTAGCATTAGCAACTCCACCCAACAGCAGAGAACGTCTCAGCTAGTAGACACTAACTGTTAGCATTAGCAACTCCACCACACAGCAAAACTCCTCTAGGCTTGCTGTGGAGATAAAACATGAGCGTTGCAGAGCAACCAGAGTCAGTGGTAGAGTAGTGCTGCTGTTAACGAGTTTATTTACAAAGCTACTCTACAAGTAAAGAATAGACGTTTCTAAGTACTCATTCCCTATTTTAAGCAGAAATAAACAACGACAACTGTTTTAAATTGATGCAGGGATGAAATGCTTGTAAGTTGCGTTACCACTCCTCACCACTAGAGGAGAGAGTGGATTGGCGGTGTGAGTTGATTTGCTTCTGTCGTGGAACAACGTGTTGCGATGAAACAGGAATTCAACGTGAAGCTTAGAGTGCATCTTCTTCTTACACAGAGAAGACATCACAGCAACGTTATTTAATATCTTCAGATGACAGAAATGGAATCCATCGTTGTTAATAAAACAATAAGATCCTGTTGCACAGACGGTAGCATACCGCCAGTTTAATGTTTAAATGCTTAACATGTAACACATCTTCAGAAACATTGATTTAGACGCTTCTCCATGACGGGACTGGACTACTGCAACTCCCTTTATGCTGGGTGGACAACTCTCTGCTGCGGCGCCTGCAGTTGGTGCAACAAGCTGCTGCCCGTCTGCTTGCTGGTATTAAGCGCCGCGAGCACATCACCCCTGTTCTGTCCTCCATGCACTGGTCGCCTGTTCGTTTTAGGGTTGATTTAAAGATTTTATTGCTAGTTTTTAAACATTTTACACGGCCAGGCACCTCCTTACCTCACAGAGACTCTGAACAAGATGTTCCTACGAAACGTTTGAGGTCTGAGCTCCAGCTGCGTTTAGAGGAGGGCGGGGCCTTTTCTGCTGTGGGTCCCAGACTATGGAACAACCTTACTCTGCCTGAAAGGACGGCCGAGTCTCTGTTTAAGTCTCTTTTTACAGGAAAACTCACCTGTCTAGCTTGGCTTTTATTCTTAGCTGAGCAGAAACGCACCATGTTGGTTTGTTATTGATATTAGTGTTTTAATGTCTTTGTCATCATTTTTATTTGTTTTATCAGAGTTTCGGTTTTATTTGTCATGTTTTTAACCGTACAGCACTTTGGTCACTTCTGTGTGGAAAGGGCTCAACTAATAAAGGGTGACTGACTGATTGGTTAATTGATTTATTGATTGATTGATTGACTGACTGACTATGCATTCACATCCTGTGTGTACAGACTGGTTCAGAAACACTACGATTGTTCCTCTGAACAGGATGTTGAGGCTTTTATTTTGAACAGTGTAGGTGCTACATTCCTGCTTGCTGTGGTCTGTGTTGGGAAGCAGAATGAAGAGGGACGGTGGAATTATGGGATCCATAATAAATCAGTAAAACGTAAAATTTCAGATCCATTTAGTCATGTTTAGATCCCCTAGCTGTGGTTTAAAATCCGACTGCATTGTCGGCTCGTTTTTAAAACACAGAAAAGGTTTCTTTCTACCTTGCTGACAGTTTCGTTTGCCGACTGCTAAACTTGTGGAGATAAAACGTCAGCGTTGCAGAGCAAACAGAGTCGGTGGTAGAGTCGCCGACCGCAAAACTTCCTCACAGCTGACGCTTTTGCAGTCGGCCAACATTACTGTCAGCTAGGTAAAAAAGCCAGCAATGCAGCAAGAACGTACCAAAGGTGTCTTAAAGTCCAGATCTTCTTTCACGTCTAACTCTTTCTTTCATTCCCGTGTTCACTTCTTCTCTGGTCTACAGGTGCTGCTGATTCTCAGATCACAGTGTAACCCTGCTCTCTATCTCAAAGCAAGCCTGTTCTGCTCGTCTACAGTATGTCTCACTTATCCCTTGTACTTTTTTCTCTTTCGTCTGTTTTCTTCTTCCATCGCATCCCTTTCCTCGCCCCTTTTGCCTGCTGTTGCCGTCCTCTCCTTCCCTCCATCCCTCTCTTGGTGACACTTGCAGTAGAGATTAAAGTGATCAAGGACCTACCGTGGCCTCCTCCTGTTGGCCAACTCAACACGAGCCTTCCCCCGACGGAGGAGCTAGAGTCTCCTTCACTGACCGCTCAGCCGTCGCCAGGACAGACGAGCTGTGACCAGCACCACCATGGTGGGTGTTGGTGTCCAGCGTCTTTTCATTGTTTACTCTCCATCCATCCACCCACGTACTGGAGGACTACCCTCTATATGCAGACTTAAACTGGAACAGTGTTTATTTATCCTTAAAAAATGTCAGCTTTCTGTACAAACCTGCTGGAGAGAGAAGGAAACTCCAGCTGTCCGTTTGCAGCTAAGTCAGAACATTCCTAACCTTCTGGAGTTTGTGTTGAACGTTCCCGTCGACTTACTAAAACAGTTGTCACTTTTCAGATGCGCTGACTTCAGGCATCAGCGTTGTAATGATGGCATTTTTCCATCTGGATTACATGTGGCAGAAAATCACAAACTCCTGCGCAGGTTGAGACTGAAGCCTCATTAGTTTTAATTGTGCCCAACTGCCTCCTGCATGCATAATTACCTTTTGTTTAGACCCCATTTCCTCTTGTCAACATACTCATAACCATCCCAGATGTCCCTCTGACCTGCTGTTCTCCACCAGTGAAGTAAGGAAAAGTCAAACTCATTTGGGGTCATTTGAGTTGTTGACTCGTTGCCGTATTTATCATCATAATGGACGCCTGGTTTCTAACCAAGGAGCCATGAGTGGATTTTCTTTGAACCCTTGCACACAGTCACACTGTGACTGCTTTAATTATCCAGAGGAAAGAGGGACATGTTGCAGAACTAATGCAGGAATGGGATTTCCCCGCCAGCCGTAGCCAGCAGGGCTGAGTAAGAGGACACCGCTGTAGACGAGGACGGGGCGAGGGAACTGATTTATGTCCATAAATCCATGAGAAGGGTTCTGGTTCCCTGTGTGGTACCAGAGGGTTTCACATAGGCGTCCACTTGTAAAGTGATCCTCTTTCTGTTTCATGACCCCCACTCTCCATCTTTTAGGTTAAAGGTCAGGGGGCCATGTGACCTCTGTGAATACAGTTACAATGCTCTCCTTTGACCTCTAAGTGCTGGCAGACCCTTACGTACACACGGGCTTCCTGAGCCACGCAGACGGGTTCAGAACCGACTATCTGGGCTTTAGCCGTGTTTGTCCTAACAGAGACTAGGCAGACAGAATCAGACGTGATGGACGTGTCTGTTTGTCCTCGTTATGAAACCTAAATGCAGATTGGCAGAGCTGATATTACATCTGCATATAAATAAAGACCCTTTCCTTTTGTTTTTAGCATGAATTAATTATCCGCACGTTTCTCTGTGGCTGTCGAGGGAAAAAAAGAGTAATTGAAAGATATACTGATTGAGTTTTAAAGAGATTTGCTTGCTGACAGTGTGGAGGCCGATTCCTTTGTCTAGAAAAACCTAATTAGCGTTTCATTTTTTGAAACCTTTGTAAAAGCAGGGAGCATTTGGAGAGATTCACTTGTGGATTCGTCGCTGGTGCAGCTCTGAAACCATTTTATTCACGACTGTCTAACAATCCGTACTCGAGCTCCTGGTGTGTTAATTATTATCCACATAAAAAGGACGTTCTTTTATTATTATAATCCTATTTTTTAGATCGACAAACTTCTGGGGTAGCAGGCCGCTCTGAACACTCGTTAATCGTTCCACTCATCCTCGCTGGAAAACCGAGTCACAATTCAGCAGTCGGCGACACATCGCTCCTCAGAGTAGTCGCTCTTTCCGATAGGAGTATCATTTGCAAATGGGAATTAATTAGCTGGCTTAATTAGAGGAATTTGCACAGTAGTGTGTGCAGCTGGGGATGGAGAGGCTGCAAACATCCCTTGGTGATGAATGCCCCCTCGTCTTTGGTTTGGCAGTTTGAGGTTTACATTTCCTGTAGGGTGTCCAGTTGTTGGTCTCATGACATTCATCCGGTTCTGTGGTGCAGCGGTCCACGCAGCTTTAATCTAGGCCTGGGCGATAAAGCCATTCCAATTTTTTGTTGCGGGCGATTTAAAAAAAAGGTAAATCGAATTTTTATGTAATAGCGCCTTTTTGGCCCCCGGAGCTTCCGTAGCGTTAGTTTCGCATAACCGCGACAACAACGTCACAGCACACACACGAAACGGCAGCAGCAAGCGACTCCATGGCCACCGGTGAGAGTGGGAAGTTGGTTTGGGGTTGCTGCGACCGGCGTGGCACTTTTATTCCTAGAGGGTGTTCATTTGTTCTTTATTCATCTCAGGAATGAGGGTTACATTTGTCTTGCTTGTGATTAAATAAAAAACAAAATTGGCTTTAAGGTTCCTTCCATTTGTACTTATTGCTATTCTTAATGATTGAGGAGGAGAGAGAATCGGTAAAAAATAAAACCGGAGCTTTTTTAGGCCATATCGTCCAGCCCTACGTTAATCATAAAAATGTCCTTTTGACATTTCTGTTTATCTGGCGGGAGCGCGCTCTGCTGCTCCTGTTTTGTGCTTTTCCAGCATCCTGGGATGGAGGCTGGAAGGGGACCGCTCTCCCAGCCATCAGTCACCATCTCACCGACAGTCCAATCTGATGCACACCTTCCATTTGGCTCACTTTACAAGCAGCAGTGTTGATGACCGCCCCAGATACTGCTGCACATTTCAGTGTGTTTCTGGAAAGATGTGTGCACGTGCTCATGCACGTGTTTTCACACTGCCATCCTTCTTAAACTGCCTCTCAGGGCTTTTGTTCTCCTGCGAGCCAATCCTCTCGTCAGTCTGCTGTCAGCCGTGCCTCGGACCGTGCTCCAGAGAGAGACGGGGGGGGGCGCCTTGAACTCTGCAACAGTTTGGAGCGATTAGGTGAAGCTGGCAAGCAAATCACACATGAATCCATTCACACTTGAACAAATATAACAATAGCCTTTGTTATGTTTGGGTGCTCTGTTTCTTCAGAGGGATGCATTTGGTAAATAACTGTGCTCCCCCCTCGTGGAAAAGACTTCGCTGTGAAAGGTAGGCTGATTCTGGCTGAGCTCCCTACAGACAAACCAGTAACAACAGCAAAGCTACCAAGGTGGAAAACAGCCCTGATTGTTGCAGTTTGACAGGAGGAGGAATTAAAAGGATGGCGTTTGCGTGAAGAGCTGAAGCCACGAGGTGTCCTCTTTAACTGCTCAGTCCTTCACAAACTAGAGCGGACAAGAGAAGAGATTGGGTCTGAGAGACGGGGCAGCGAGGGTTTGGTGGGGAGATGAATAGAGCAGGGAAGTGGGACCGGACGAATGCAAACAGGAAGAGCTAAAGTGAAAGTGAAGGCGGCAGTAATTGGCTGCATCTTCATGTTGTGATCCGTCAGTGGTGACGGGAGCTGAATGGAGAAAACATGCTTCTCCTGTGTCCCACTGGTCAGTTTCCATGGCAACGTCATTCCTCAGCCGATCACATAAACAGTATGTTCATCTGACTTGCGTCATGTTCCTGACAGACACTCAGATATGATGGATTAAAGAACTTTAAATTCCTGTTGTATGAACTTCCAGCAGCGTTGTTTGTTTTCCGAGCTCCAGGCTGGAGGAGTGGCAGCTGCAGCTCCTGTTCTTCCATCGGTCCGAAGTCAGACCTACAATTTACTCAGCTGTCATGCAGAAGTGCAATTTGGCCGTCATTGTTAGTCCGATGTGGCTCAATAGCAAACAGGAGATCAGAGGCCAAGATAACAATCAGCCGTTTGGAATAATCATTTCCATCAGCTTATGTTTAGGGCAACGCATCAGCGAGCCGAAGGTCGCCCGGTTCAAACCTCCGGCTGGGTGTGGAGGTTAAGGGGAGCCCCTGGTGGTTGGATGTGAACACTGATTGGTCGAGTTCAGTCGTGGCCCAGACAGGAAGAGGAAATATTTCCTGTATCTTAAAGAAAAGAAGTCATAATGGGAAAATGAGGGAGAAATAGACTTCCATAGGGAGACACGTGATGCAGCCTACACATCAGAGGTAACCTAAGACTTGCATTAGCTTGCTTTGTTCTATCAGTCTGTCGTCTTCATAGTCTACTGATGCAGCCGAGTAAACTTCTGCTGCAGTAGCATTGTTCATGCTCCGGCTTTCTGGTAAAGGGTAAATGGCCTGTATTTGATGTAGTTCCTTCTAGAGTGCTGGAACCCCCCAAGGCGCTTTACAACACAGCCAGTCATTCACCCAGTCACACACTGGTGGGGATGAGCTACCATGTAGCCACAGCTGCCCTGGGGCGCACTGACAGAGGCGAGGCTGCCGAGCACTGGAGCCACCGGTCCCTCTGACCACCACCAGCAGGCAACGTGGGTTAAGTGTCTTGCCCAAGGACACAACGACAGCGACAGACTGAGCGGAGCTTGAACCTGCAACCTTTGGATTACGGGGCGAGCACGTAACTCCTGTGCCACCGTCAAAGTCTCATTTAAATACTCGACTGTAAAGTAAATCTAAACCAATATATTTTGGATTCTTCTACTTTAAGTGTGAAGTACCGAGTTACTGAGGAACCCTATAAAAGCATTTTGGATTGATGATTTCTTGTTTTGTTTCCATTTGACCTGTTTTTAAATATTATGTGATATAAATTATTATAAATATTACAAATATTCTGGAAAAATAAAGACCAAGTTTTGGACTTTACCAGTTCAGAGACGCCCGTTGTCTAACATCGTGTCACTTACTCCAGACTTCTTAGCTGTTGCATGAAACTTTAAAACTCTTCTCATGTAGACTTAGTCGATTGGGCTGCATGGTGGCGCAGTGGTTAGCACTGTTGCCTCGCAGCATGAAGGTTGCAGGTTCGATACTCGGCTCGGCTGCAGCTTTCTGCGTGGAGTTGCGTGTTCTCCCCATGCATGCGTGGGTTTTCTCCGGGTACTCCGGTTTCCCCCACAGATCACAACATGCCCTACAGGTTATAAATTGTAAGTCGCTTTGGATAAAAGCGTCTGCTAAATAAATAAACATAAACAAACATTGAAGCTGGCAGCTCGGTGCGATACAGCAACGCCTGGCTGCCTCGCTAACTGTACGCTGTGATGTAATCCTCGAGTGGAGCGAAGAGTCTAGACCGGAGCGAGTCCGTCTTCGTGGACACGCCGTTAACTTCAGAGTCGGTCTGTCCGTACAGACCAAGTCGTGAAACAGCGCAAGGCTGTGGACAGCAGAACAGAGGCTGTGTAGTTCATACCGCCTGGACTCGTGTCTTCAGTGGGCAGCAGCACGAGCTTCGCCACACACCTGATGCTGGAAGCCAATCCTCTGTTATTGTTTGAGAAGCGTGTCTGTGCCTCTAAATAGTTTCCCCTTCTCTAAGCTTGGGGAGCTTTGACATCAATTATAGTGATGGATGACTGTGGGAAAATGGCTGTTCCCCCCACCCCCACCCCACAAACACAGCTGACCACCTCTCATGATCACCACGCCAACCTTTTCCGTCCTGTCCCACACCTTGCTGGAGGTGTAAACTCATCTTTTCTTTTCTCTCTGTTTTGTTCTGTAAACAAACGGGAATGTTTTTGTCCGTGTGACTTGGGAAGAGAATCCATTCGGTGTGTGCTCTGGCCATCCTGTCACAGCTCAGCTCAAACCCTGGCGGACCCTCGAGCGCTCCGGGAAAGCTCGTCGCGCCCACAGCTGACTGTGGGAGTTTCAAACACCAGTTTAATGTTTAACTTGCAGAACTCGTCTGCTGTGTTTGCTTCCGTGTGTGTGACGTTGTCCACATGTGGATATTTGCTCAGATGGATTTTTCAGATTCGATCTTTGTGTGTCGCTTGCACACAAAGACTTCACATGCTCACACGTACAGCAGCTGACACGGATGCGCTTACGAACCGATGGAGTGCTAGAGAGTGCGTTTTTCGTTTTTCCGTCTGGAATGTGTACACCGTGAGGAAGGCCTGACTCATGTCTCCTCCATGGTGTGTACATGTCCTTCAGTTGGACGAGTTACGCAGAGCAAGTGTGCGTGGGTGTTTGTTTGCGAAAGCACAACCTGATGTGGGTTCTCACACATTTGCACCTCTCCAGCTCAGCAAATACACGTGACACTAATTTATGTTGCAAGCTTTATGAACACCTGCTGCCTGTTACTCTCACAAGTGACCTTCATTTGACTTCTAGATGAAGTGCACTCAAATTATGCAGCCTGTTGTTATCAGAGCTGAGTGGCTTTGGAAAATAAACCCATCCTGCCAGAACGAAGCCCGTTTTCAGCTGTACGTGTTCTCCTTTAAACCACAGTCCAGTTTGATGAAAAGTCGCGGATGTCGCCCACCAAGGATGGGAAAAGTCGCCCTCCACAGCGTCATTCCAGCGGCTGTCTGGTCAACACCAAAATGACTTCGCTGGACCACAGCAGCTCCTGTCTTGGGAAACGAGTTGACCCGATGATGCCTCTGGAAAGCCAGTTGTGAGTCTGACCCGATCTTTATTTGAATTGGTAGTTGAGTCTTTGTGGCTAATACCTGTATCCTTCCATTGTTCTGTCCGTATCATGCTGAACGTAGCTGGTACCATGGAGCCATCAGCCGAACAGATGCAGAGTCTTTGCTGAGTCTGTGTAAGGAGGCCAGCTATCTTGTTAGGAACAGCGAGACGAGCAAGAACGACTTCTCCCTCTCACTTAAGTAAGTAGTAATAGTCTAATCCAATACACACCTAGGAATGAAAGGGCTGATGGTTTGAATGTATTGTGATTGGTCTAAGTGTTTCACTGGTAAAACAGTATTTGGTGACTACAGAAAACATCCCAGAGAAAAGGGGGTAGCAGTGAAATGCTTTGTAGAGAAGGTCTCTCCATCTACAAAACAAGGAGGAAGAAAGTCTGATGTAACGTAAACCTAGCTTGACAGAAGTGGGCATGCCCCCGGGTCCCTCCGACCACCAGCAACAGGCAAGGAGGGTGAGGTTTTACCTGGCCTTGCTTGTGCAAGAAGCCACTGTCACCCCAAAGCCCTGACAGCATAAGTTACAGCAACCTGAGAATTAACTTTATTTAAAAAGACATTAAAGAGCACGCTTAGCCTGGCGGGTGACCAACACTGAGATAAAGCGCTGGGGAAAACCCTGTATTTCATTAACATGTGCATTGGTACTGGAAATGTTAATAATGAATTTCTACTGCTAACAATGTAATGGTGGCATGTCTATTATGTACATTTAAATCAGTTTAAATTATGTTCAAAGATGGAAGCGTTTGGGAATTACGAGCTGCAACGGCTTCCTGCTGCGGTGTTCAGACTCGTAGCAACAAGGTGACATGTAACTGCAGCGGCTCTGCTCTGTAGCGCTGCAGGGTGCAGATAAATACACTGAACAAAAATATAAACGCAACACTTGTTTTTGCTCCCATTTCTCATGAGCTGAACTCAAACATCTGAAAATGTGTCGTCATACACAAAAGACCCATGACTCTCAAATGTTGTTCTGAAATCTGTCTACATGTGTGTTAGTGAGCACTTTTCCTTTACCAACCTCACAGGTGTGGCATATCAAGGGGCTGATTAGACAACATGAATAATGTACAGGTGTGCCTTAGACTGCCCAAAATAAAAGGACACCCTGAAATATGCCGTTTGATCATGCCGAGAATGGTTTATGATTGGTCAGTGGTGGGCAAGAAGTGTTTAGGAACTAGGTGTGGGTACCTTTTGCATTTGAATTGTTATCTTAAACAGTTTATTCACCTTATGGAGCAGAGTTAGATAACTCACAAAGACCGTTGTTAATGTTGTCAACATAAACCAGTCACCCATCTCATTTAGTGAAGTAGAACCAAAGTTTAGAGCACGTTCTTTCTACCTCGCTGCTTGCTCCGTTTGCATCTTGCCCTCAGCGACTGACGATAAAACGCTCTTGTGCTTTGGCTGCTGTCTACCTTGGGAAACCAGGTACTGAATGCTAGTGCGTAAGTGGCAAAAGGTGAATTGGTCCTCGGTCGGTAACACGGAATTTGGTCGGTGTCTTAAAAAGTACCGAACACGTTACCCACCCCAGTTAGGGACAGCGAGAAAGTCGCTGAGTTGGCAACACTTATTCAACAGAGCTGCTGCTCCTCCCGACTTAAAGGTATACACCTGTCTTTATGCTAGCTGCGTTGTGTTTCTGTCCTGCAGACTTTAATTCACCTGTTTTGTTTTATTATTCAACAGGTGTTAAAATCCATGTTAAAGTTTCTGTCACTACAACAATAAATGAATACTACTGCTCCTAATAATAAATGATGAGCAGCTGCAGATGTCGTCCTTGTGCCTGAGCGTTTCTGTGAGCTGTGATTGTCTGATTTCCCCGTGGCTGTTTCGGATTGGAAGGACCTCGTGGAGAAACCCCCCCAAAAACAATTAAACATTATTTCTGATTGTTTAGTATTAAAAGTTAAACATGAGTTTCTTTCCTAAAGTCTATTATTGAAAATAATTTTAAAAGAAAGAAACTGCATTTCACTGTCCCTGAATAATAAAAGTTGGTCCAAAAAACTGAATAAAATAATATTATTTAGACTGACTTTAGAGAAAACAGCGTGTGTCCTAGGATGTAGCAATACAACTATAATAGTACATTTAGATACCAGCTATTTGCTGGTTCTACTGTTGATTCAATAAGTTCAGTTTTAAGAGCAGTTTTTGAATTTTCTCACAATAGTCATAATAGAAAATTGGCTGTTTCATCCCTTGACGCATCACTCTTAAGTCTGTTTATTTTTATTATCGGAGAGAATAATTTTACAGCAGACAGATATTCTCACTGATGGATTTCAGGCAGTCTGGACCTGACTTGATGGTAATTTCACCCTTCAGACTTGTTCCTCACCCCGACTGTGTGTCCTTCCCTTGCTTCGTCCTTCGTATCTCTTTGGTAGCCTCCTTCCTCCATTTGCTGGCGTGCCCACAGTTCAGTTGCGGCCCTGTCGTCGGTACCCTCTTGCTCAGTGCCGCCGCGTCCCGCTGAGAATCCAAGAGAGACACTCTGATCAGTTTAGTGTACTCTGTGGCGTTTGGAAGAGGTTACGTCTGCGTCAACACCCGCAGTCACCTCTGATTTTCTAGACATAAACGTGCAGCTCTAGGTTTTTCTTCTCTCTGACAGGCATCAGGTTCAGGTGTCGTAACAACATTCTCAACCTGAAACTCTCTGAAATCTCTCCAAGACCAAATGTGCTTTTCTGTTACTCCAGCTATGTAATCTGAGCATCTTGGTTAACTGGTTAGATTCCCGCTGTAACAACACCTCATAGTTCAACAGAAAAGAAACAGGCTGAAACACCGCCAGCCCAGAGACGACGGGACATCTTACACACAGACATTGATCTGTCTTTATTACAGCAGAGCTCTTACTGGAAGCTTAAAAGGCTGAGACGGAAAAAAGTGAAACCAGGTTTCTTATATGTGCTTCTGTAGCTACCTGATTCACTTTCATTTTTTTTCTGTGAATAATAATCCTCGTAGGCGTAAGAAGCTGCCTTATTTTCTGCTGCCAGTTACTGATGAAACGATGCTCTGACAGAGCTGGAGCTTGCTGTCACCAACCACAGAAACACACTGATGAAGGACTAATTCCTCACAACATCTGTGCTGTAAAAGTCACCGGGTTCGGTTCTGCAGAATCAAACTGTAGCCCACCACGACACTTTCCAAACAAAGCACAGAAGCAGGTCAAATGCAGCTTGAGATTTTTAAAAACAAAAATTTAGAACCAGATTTGACACAAAAGATTCAGAATTGTAATAATTTATCATTTAAGGTGCTTGATTGTTATTATCAAAAGAAATTAGGACAGCTGGGAAGTTTAATTAAACAATTCATATTAAACAGTCTCTGAAATTAGTGATGCACCGTGTAGCGTGGCTAAACTACATACTAGAATTAACACTGTTTGCTATCAGCTTTGTTAGATTCTGAAGAGATCAAACGAGTTAGAAAAAGAAGCTTCCATCATATATAAGTATCCAGGATATTAATATATTCAATAGAAGTTCATACGCCAACGAGCTTGGTCGATATTTAATCCAAAGATTAATTTTTAATTTTAAGATGATTAAATTTTAGCAAAAGTGTATTTATTGAATCAGAAGTTAAAGGAATCTTTGCTTATTCAATCACCAAATATATACACCAATCTGTGTTTCATTTCAAAGAAGAGTCAGGTTTTAGAAAGTTAAGAATTTATTACTAACACTTTTTAAAATGACAATTTGAAAAATGACAATTTGAAACAGCTTGATATTAAACTAGTTATTAAAACAAACCTGTGTCTGAATGAAAAGCTAAAGTGAAATGCGTGGTTTGGATGCGTGAATGAATCTCAGCAGGTTTCTTTCAGAGAGAGAAAGTGTTCTGGGTGGAAAAACGTTCTTTTGCAGCTAACTGATGTTTCTTAGAGAACAGCGTACAGACGCCATCTGTCGGACAATGTCTACCTCACCCATTTCATCCGTGGATCTGAGATGACAGATGGAGATCGTTCCTCCGGGCACGAGGTTGGTAGAGAGACCTCGGTGTGTCTCAAATCGGTCCTGAGATGTCTCCGTGGGTCACACGACTGATGAAACTATTTGCGTCTCAAAATCAATAACTGAAGGAGTTTTTGCGTCAGCTGGAAACAGGTGCGTCTATTCGGAGCAATTCTATCGGCGTGACAGAATGCTTAGTGAGGCTGGGGCGGCCGGCCCTCGTCCTCTGGTGGGTTCAAGAACCGAACTTCAGCTGCGGAGATTTGGTTTTAACAAAACAGAACACACCCTCTCAGTGTCAGAAAGCTCGTTGTTATGGAGTAAAGACATGTGAGGTGGTTTAACTTTACCCTGGATCCAGTCCTGCATGAGGTGTACACGTGCCAATGACCTTCTGGTTGATCATCACACATTACTGATTATCATAAATAATAGTTATTAACCCAAAGAATAATACGTCATTTCAATAATTAAATACATTTATACTGAACCAAGATGATTATGTATGATGATTGTAATAAACAGTAAAACAGTTTATTGAATTATTATTTTAAAATCTTGAAGTGTCCTTCATCTTGGGACGGAACAGCAGCAGATAAAGTTGATGATTAGCAGACTTCACGGCTCCTGGGGTAATCTGCGGAGCAAAAGTTACGGCTTGACCCAACTAGGAAAGTGTGACCTTTGGGTCACAAATATGAGGCCATTCATGACGTTACAACCGATATGAAATTTTTGGGCCCATACCGATATCCGATATTAAGATCACTGTTCAGGCCGATAACCGATATTTGTCGATATCGATATTCTGACATTAATGCTTCTAAAATCAGCAGATTTTGTATAGAATGAAAACTATTAAAGCTGAATTTACGTTATTATGTACACACAACACACACATTTATGGTTCTGAGATGATTTTATTCACTGCTCACAGGACTAAACAATTACACATCATGGTGCTTGGCTGCATGGTGGCGCAGTGGTTAGCACTGTTGCCTCGCAGCACGAAGGTCACAGGTTCAAAACTCGCCTTTCTGCGTGGAGTTGCGTGTTCTCCCCATGCATGCGTGGGTTTTCTCCGGGTACTCCGGTTTCCCCCACAGATCACAACATGCCCTATAGGTTAAAAAATAATTGTTGTAAGTTGCTTTGGGTAAAAGCGTCTGCTAAGCACAT